TACCTACTAGGTTATGGTAAATACGCAAAAATCTGCGATCTCTTTTCTAAGTATTGGCGATTTATCCACGTCGTCATATCTAGGTCAATTTAACTTTTTTGCTCTAACTCTGATAGGATGACACATCATCATCTTTGCCAATCTCTTTATCCAAAATCTGGTAGGATGACACATCATCGTCTTTGCCTATTTCTTTGAGCTCTTCGGTATGCTATACCAGTGTATCCTTATTTAATAATCTTTGGTTCAAATTTTGGGGTCTTCCATTATTTAATAACCCTTCGATTCAAATGTGTGAGATCTGCGCATTCTCACACCAATCAATTGCAGAGTGATTAAATAGGAGTAGCTGTCATACCCAAAATTTATCCGCCTTGGTGCTACACTCAAAATTATTTTCAAAATTGGATTTTAAAATTCTTTTGGTTCGTATTCACTAACATTCTTTGGGTTTTATAAATATTTATATTCAAGTCTATTTAAAAATATAAATTATTTGTATTTTTAAATAATAAATGTTTCCACATCTTTCATATGATTTCAATTGGTTTTTTTATTTCAAATGAGTATGAGGTCACAGGGTCAAATCCCACCATCCAATGTTTTGACTTTTTTTGGTGTTGCTAATTTTAAATGTCATTTTTATTGTTATTTAATTAAAAAAAATCATTTTTTAATATTTAAATATTAAATTTTGTATTTTCGATTAATGAATTTTAAAAATATTTTGTTATCTTTTGTATTTTAGGTAGTAATATTTGTTTTAGGAGAGAATCAATGTAATTGGTTACAATAATTATAAATCAAAAAATTTTATTTTATTTTTATTTTAATTATTTAGATTGATGACTGATTTTATATATATATATATATATATATATATATATATATATATATATATATATATATATATATATATATATATATATATATATATATATATATATATATATATATATATATATATATATATATATATATATATATATATATATTTGTTAATTTTATTTCAATTTCAAGTTACATTGAAATCTCTCCAAAAATTAAGTTCTTTTTGTTATTTAAATATTATTTTCGTACACAAATTTTTTAACACTATCACACACAATCTCTGTGCACAAATTTCTACCGCCGCTGGTGTCACCTTCAGGTAAGTCTTTCTACTTATACAATTTAGTTTTTTTTTATTTCATTAATTATCCTTTTCTAGCATAATTTATTTATTTAATTTAGTTTTACATTTACATTAGTTTTATTTCAAAATACAAAAAAAGTTACTGAAACTTTGTTTTTCATTGTTATTAGGTTATTACGTTAATTAAAGAAAATACAAAAGTAAATTAACTTATACATATTTTCTTAAATCTCCTCAATTAATTTCCTAACATAAAAACACAAAGTGATGTTATTTCGTTTTTATTTAATTATTACAAAAATATTTTATTTAATTATTTTGTCTAATTAACTTATTTAGTAAGAATTAGATTAATTAATTTATTTTATTTAAGAATAACAAATGAACAATACAAGAAATACAATAAAAATAAAATACTTTTGTAAATCAAATTAGTTAATATTTTACAAAGATATTATTAAATCCTGTTGATTAATTGGCAAGTTCAATTTCTGAACTTGGGCCTCTGTTATTTACACACCTTATTTTCCTACTAAACTAAGTTTACATCCCCACCTGCATTTTGGGTCCAGTTCAATATCTGAACTTGGGCCCTCACTTGTCAGACCCTATTATCTATATCCCCCTATTTTACTAGCCCAGCACAAATTACACCCCCTGCATTTTTTAAATTTAATTTCTTTTTATTATTTTATTATAATAATTTTTTAAATTCTAATATTATTTATATTATTATAAAATCAAATGTTTATTTTCCAAACTCATCCAAATATTTTTTTTTGCATTAAAATTATTTTTAATCATGCATTAATAAGATATTTTTATAATTAATACATTAAAAATATCTAACTAACACTGAACTCTTTTTATTAAATCAAATTAAACTCAACAATCAATTTTCAAAAAGGATTACGAAAATATTTCAATCGCCTGCGCACTTCGTCTAATAACTCCACTATTCACACACCCAGGTTTGATTCAGGGAAAATTCAAATATCTTCGTAATCCATAAAAAAACACCAACCAACTACGAACTACGAATTGTGACTCTGATTCCTCATAAGAGGATACGTAGGCACACTACTTAAAAATCTTGGCGAGTTCCCCTAATAAAAATTAAAACCCTATTTCTCAAAGATCGCATTTCTAACCCTAGTATCCTTGTGAACAAGGTAGACGAAGGGTGCCTAACACATTCCTTTTGTCTAAGAACGAGTCCAACAACTCAGAATCTCTGACAACATTAGGGTTATAATTTATATTCTCTTTCTAAAGATAAAAATTAAGGGTGATGACTCTCATTTTAAAACTGGTTACAGCACCAGAGAAGGGCCTAAGATCGCCCACAAAATAGCTACCTTGAGGTCACCCAAAAAAGGGTTACCTCGAGGTCGCCCATGGAAAGGCTCAAAGTCATCAAAAGATGGGCTCGAGATAGCCTAAAGAAGAGCTACCTCGAGGTCTCTCACTAAAGGTCTACCTCGAAGTCGCTCAAAGAAGGGATCGAGGGAGCCCTAAGAAGGACTACCTCGAGGTAGTCCAAAGAAGAGCCCGAGATTAGTCAAAGAGTGTAACACCCTAAACCTCGACTCTTTAATTTAAAAAGATAAATAATATTATTCTAAATTAAGGTGTTACACACACTCGTCATGTCATACTCTTTCAATGAAAACAATTAAACATGCAGCAGAACTCAACAAATAAGACATACTTCAAATTATCTCTTCAAAAATAAAGTGCTTGATTAAATTAAATAATCCAAAACATTAACTCAAACATTAATAAACAACATATTCTCAGTGTTACAGATCAGAGCAACTGAAACTAAAATAACATAAAACGATAAATATATGATGAAAGCCTCAATGTCATCTTCCAATTCACAGTAGATATTGCTCCTCCTGAGTACTTGTATCATTGTGTACAAAATACCACACAAACAAAACAAAAGATGGGTGAGAATACACTCAAATATATTAGCGGTGTAAAACATAATAAGGGTAGCATATTCATAAAAATCAACGAACACATCAAGAATATGCATAACAACGAAACAATTCACAATACTTTTATGTATAGAAAGAGACTGACAATCTCGACTCAATGCATGTGGTACCATTTTACAGACATTAAAGGTATGTTACTGATATTCGTCTTCTCATTGTGTTTCCTCTTCGAACCCGATTTCTATTTGAACCCAAACTCATCATTGATCCCCACTTCTAAACTAACAACTCGTCACTTCTCAACACGAAACATGATGTCTGACATACATATGCAACAACACTATTGATTCCACTTTGAACCGTATACAACAACACATAAGGCAGACAAAGTAGTTCAAACTCCGAACTACAAGTCTCAACATCAACAACATATAATTATATTCATCAGTACATAACTATACAAACAGTTCACAACTCATACACATTAATATAATTCACAAAACATACAATTATGTAAAACTTCCCATATATTATTAAATTCATCATAATATTTTATCTCAGCATAAAACTCAAGGTCATCTCATTTCTCATCAATAACCATCTCATCATCGACATTAACATCATTCTCATGCGGAAATCAATCACAATAATCAAAACAAAATGTTTTCCTCGCCTTTAACCAACAACTAGCGTTACATAACAAATAATTCCATATAATCACATTATCAAGTACTTTATTAACCTCTTAGCACCGTACCATGAGGTAGTACTATGTACTAGCTTTTCAATGCTTCAAACCGCGCCTCAAATAAAGCCACTGAGTTCAAGTTATGATGAAAACAAAATCAGTAGAATTCCGCTGCTGGATTGTCTTGCTACACGAGGCCCTCCATCGCTAAGCACAGACACACAAATATGCAAACCTATAATTGTGATTTTCACGATTAGAGGACTTCTGGAGCTTTGATTTTGGTTCGTAAAAACCAATACACTCAAAATTTCATCACACATCAAACATACATCATTTCACTCATCATTTGAACATATTAATCATTTATCTCATCAATTTGTTACAAATCTAAGGATATATTTATCAAGCCAACACTCATGAACATAAGCATCAAAAATTCAGATTTGCATATACACATGATACACAATCTCAACAACATAACAAAGCACAAATTTCATATCAATTGCAACAACAAAATAGTTTTCACATAAACCTCAACATAAATCTCAACAATGGAAAAAAACTTAGAGGAGGGTGAGGATCCCTCTCTATCCTTCTTGCATTTGATACTAATATTAGAGTAATTCCTCCTACCTTAATTTCTAGCAAAGGTCTTATCTTTGTCATGACTTGAATCCTGAATATTCAACTCTTTTTAACTCTTAACTCAACTCTTTCAAGTTAGTTGATCTATCTCTCCCTCCCCAAGACATAATCTTATTGTTCAACATATAATATTTCTAGATATAAAATATTATTTGATTCTGACCACATGATTTAATCATAAAATGAAAAAAATTCAATTGCATATTCACCTAAAATATTAGGAGATTGTGATTGAAGAAAAGGGTTACAATTTTATTAGCTCATGGTGATATTTTAGATATTACAATTGTAGGAATTCGACTAAATTATCAATCAACAATAAATAAAGGATTAGACAAATGCTGGATATTTTTAATCTTGAATTTTCTAACAATTTTTTTTGCATACCCAATTAGATTACATCATCTTAAATAACTTGCTCCAACACTAACAGTCGTGATATACCAATGAAAGTTGATTTATTAAATTGACGCACTAAAATTATTTCTTTGACAAAAAAAACATCACAAATAATTTCAATCATACACCACATACAAATTAAGTAAACAATGTTGCATGGTTTTCCAAATTCATTTCTTTGTTGCTATATTAGGCTTTCCACTCCAAACTCTGCCTTCTTCATGCTCCAAGCATTAAGTTGTGAGATAACCACACTTTGGATTCCATCATTGAATACATAAAGATGTGCATCTTTCTCTATAGCCAACAAGGGATAAACTCTACTTGTTATGCAAGCTCTCCCTCCATCTCCAAAACTCTCAATAATGGATCTATCAATCTGCATACATTAACACCTCATATATCAACTAGAAAGCATATAATAAAAAAAATTGAACAAAACCTATGATAACAAAAAAACATACCAAGCTTCTAAGTGAAATTGTTTTAAGATTGGGATCAATGTCAAATATAGTTGCATATATTTTTTTGCCAAGGCCCTCTCTCAATGTAGACCTGTAAAGTGTATACAGCTTAAATTTCATGAGCTCTAGTCTCAATTGCGTACTAAAATTGTAAAGATCTCGATCATTTGATAAAGATTTAACTGTTAAATCTTTGTCTAATGATCGAGATTAAAATTGCGGCTGTAAAAAACTAATTCCCTCACATGAGAAGTTCAATGTCATTATGAGATGAAATATTTTTATTGCATAATAAGTTTGGAGATTAAAAAAAAACCTGCTCATATCACTACACATCAAGCATATATATCGATCGAGGACTCTATATATTTTGAAAGATATTGTAGTCTTCTCTGTCTGGTCTTTTGATGCTAAAACTTGCAAACCAAATGGCCCTATCACGCCCTTTCTTGATGCATAATCTTCACTAGAGAGTATTTGAGGATCAACGTCACTTGGATCTAGTAACTCAGCATTTTGTAGATCAGGTAGCTCAAACAAGACTTCCACATCAACCTAGAAAAGTAAAATTAAAAAAAGTAAAATTAAAAAGTAACCACAATAAATACTTCAAATCAATTGTGTGTTTGGTGTTCGACATGACACTGACATATATAATTACACTAGTTTAACTACGTACCTGAGATGCAGTGATACCTTTTACTTCAAGAATTGATCTACTTAGGAGCGTCTCACCCGTGATACTGATTTGATTGTAGCGTAGTTTTTCTAACTCTTCAATCGGCCATTGCATTAATTGCTTCCCATTTTTATCAAGCCAAAACTTCCTTGGAATTGCCTACATTGTAGAGAAACACTAATCACATAACTATTATCTATATGGTGGTATAAAAAATAACACAAAGTTTTAAATTGCAGTTGCAATCGCATAGCAGTTCTTAACATCATGAAACTAAAATAGAATACCTGTAGACCAGCCCACCCTTTTTCAATGTCATCTTGTCTAGAGTCAGTTTCTTCCACCCATGCCCATATTATTCTCCTGTTCTTAGCATAATCAAAAAATGACTTTGAAGCAAAAAAATTACCATAGTCAAGTCTCAAGTCCTTCCAAGTTCCACTATATTTTTCATCAGGAATGAACTTTTCCTGCTCAGAATCAGATACATATTTCCCAATTAAGTAGTAATCGATATGCGTTCGTTGATAACTTATCTTCAAGACATGTCTAACACTTGAATTTTCCATAGTTGTATCAACCCCATTTTCGCTATTGATATACACAGGAAAAAAATCTGGACATTCAATAACACCAGTACCTTGTGTTGCAAGAAAAGGACTAGGATCAACTATCCAAGTAACAAAATCATCACTTTTGCAAAGAATAACTTTTCCTTCATCACCATTTTGAGCACCAATTATCACCCTCCATTTTCCATCTTTTCCTTTCCATGCAGTCGAAGGGTCTCTGAATTCACACTCTTCGACTCCACTAGGTGCTGTCATCAATGGATTTTGATGGTGTTTTTCCCATTCCTTTAAGTAAGGGTCAGATGGATCTTTTGGCATAGCTAAGTTTTGAACTTGATGTCTTTTTTCATTGATTCCTGTGTACAACATAGCAGGTATATCACCTGGGAGTATAGTGGCTGAGCCTGAGAAGCAACTGTTGATGTCACCAGTACAAGATGGTGTAATTGCATCATTGAGATGAGTCCAATTTATGAGATCTTTGGATACAGAATGAGCCCATATCATTGTTTTACCAAAGGTTGCTCCATCAGGGTTATATTGGTAGAAGAAATGGTAAACTCCTTTGTAGTACAATGGTCCTATCACACAAAAATAATACTGAGTTACCAATCATTCGATATTTACTTTTGTTTTGATATACACAAAAATTCTGACTTAGTTAAGATTAATTTGTAACAAATGAGAAATTTTTAACTAAAATAAATAGCTGAGAGAATGAAGCATACCATTAGGATCTGCATGATGAAGTGAATTTTGGTCAACAAAACATGTCAAATGACACAGAAAAGAGTTAGATATATAACATATTACACATATTCAAAAAGCAAATGGAAAATTAGTGATTTTACCATTCATCCAATTTTTTGGGGGCTGAAAGTGGTACCAAGTTCTGTATGGCTGTTCTGAATTGATGCTGTTTGAGGATGCATCATCCTTTGTAATGTTCTCCATGAAGATTGCTGATATGGTTTGGTTTGATCAAGAACTAATATATATATATTAATGCACTTAATTAGTCTTCCACTTGGTGAATAGATCATGACAACATGTTTAATATTTATAATGAATTATAGACGCAACTGCATAAATTATTAGAATATAGACCCACCATTGCAAACAATATTTTTATCAAAGACTTGACTTCCATATATAATGTTTATAGTAAACAAACACATGGTCAAATTTAATATAAAGTTTAAAAAAATATAAGAGGTGAATCATTACCGTTTCTAGTAAAAATAACTTTTAATAATAAAATAATGAACATTATAATATTTTATCAAAATTTCCTAAAAAGTTGTACAATTTATCATTGGTTGGAATTAATACTAAAAAGTAATAAAATATATAAATTCATTTGAATTAAAAATTATTCGACACTAAAAATATGACTTAAAAAGAGGAAGTGTTTATATATTCTACCTCCATCTTAAAATAAAGGACATCTACGTTCGAATCATAAATAATTCAGAGTTAGTAATGGTATTAAATTTATTTATGTTATTTTATAAATTTATCTTTTAAAAATTAATTTATATTTTATTAAAATATTTTTAATGTTGATTTCCAACAATTTTTTAAATAATAATAAAATATTAGTACATAAATAATTAATATGATTAAAAATTAATTATAATCTATTTACTTTTTAAATTTATTTTACATATTTTTAATAAAATGATAGGACCGAGACATTAAATAATTGTAATAGAAACAAGATGAAATGTAACATCCCATTTGAGGTAATTTTCTATTTTCTATTTTGAAAATTAAAAAAAATTAAAAATAGTTTTTACTTTAAGTTTTAACATTTTTGAAAAGTAAAATAAATTTTTGTTTTAAGTTATGAAATTTTTAAACAATAAAATCAATTTTAAATATAAACTTAAAAAAGAATATTCATAGTTAACATATCTAAATTCAAATAAGTCATGCTATTATATTTGTAAAATAATTAAAATATTATTAATATATAATGTGTTTTTTAGTAGTAATTTAATAATAATGGTTAAAGGGGTGATTGTCGAAGGATACATGTTAAAGTGATGACCGTTGATCGTGAAAGTGGTGGTAGTTGATGGTGGTCAGGGGTGATGATTAGTGGTGGTTTATGGTTGTCGTCAGAGTGATAAGAGTGATAGCTGGTGGAGGTGATTAGTGATTGGCGATAAGTAGTGGTCGACGATAGTTAACATGGTGGTTGAAGGTGGTCATAATGGTGGTTCGTGGTGATCGAAATGACAGTCCAATTAGAGATCATAGATGGATAAAGTGGCTATTAAAGGTGTTCGGGGTGGTAGTCCAAAGTGACGTGAATAGTGGTTGGTGGTAATTTAATGTGGTAAGAATAATGGTCGAAGTGGTGGTCGGTGATGCTCATAATAGTGGTTGGAGTAGAGATTGACAACCATTGATGGTGATGTCTTAAATGTAAAACAAAAACATAAATTAAAAAACTTATTGTTGAGATTGTAATCTCTTGTGTCGAAGCAGTTTGTTGCTCGACATAAACAGGATTGTATCGAAATAATCTAATGTGTGTCGAGTTGTATTAGATGTCGAAGTATCGAAGCAGGTTGCTTGATACTGGATTTCGACTTAGACCAAAATAGATATTTTGGGCTTTTATATTTTTGGACTTTGACTTAGGGAGCAAGCTAACTTAAAACTATAAATAGAGGGAGTAAACCCTATTATTTAATCACTCCACACTTGCAGTTCACTACGCCATAAGAGGGAATAAACAGCGTTTTTTTTAATCATAGACAACGCTTACAAGCGCTGCCTATTCCTGCGCTACTGTAACCATAGACAACGCTTTTTATCTATGTGAAAGCGCTGCTTAATGTAGACTTTAGACAACACTTTATTGAACAAGCGCTTTCTAAAGGCCCCTATAGGCAGCGCTTTTAACATTATAAGCGCTTTTTATAGTGTGTATATAATAGCGCTTTCACTTTAGACAACGCTTTAGAAAGCGTTGTGTAATGTATTTTTTTCTCTTTTTTTTAATATATTTTAGGCAACGCTTATTTTGAAGCGCTTTCTAAAGTCCCCTTTAAGGAAGCGCTTGTTATTTCACAAGCGCTTTCTATTCCCCATCATAGGCAGCGCTTTTTGGTTTAAAGCGCTGTCTAATGTTCATAATTTTTTTAATAATTCAGCTTATATTTTAAGCGCCCTGTACACATAATCACTTAAAATTTAAGCGATGTCTTTCAAATTTGCACTAAATTTTATAAATTTGAAGTTTCAATCCAATAAGTATGCACCAAATTTACATATTTATATATACAACTTTAATTCAACAATTTATATATACTTAAATGGGATACAACTTAAGAATTCAATAATTTATATATACATAAATTTAAATATTTACATATACAACTTTATAAACCAATAAATATGCACCAAATATACATATTGTTATCTTCTAAAGCTGCTATATTCTCTACTGTTTTCTCTACAAACAACAACAATGAAGAATCCTAAATGAATCTATATATCTTCTACATATGTACCTACTCGAAACAAAAGCAACAAAGACATGTATATCAGAACCAAGCTATATATATATATATATATATAACAAATAAATCTTATAACTATTATAATTTAATACAAATCAATGTAACAAAAACAAATCAAGAATCCGTTATAATCCACCATTAAAAAATTCCCCGATTTATACCATGATACAAACAAAATTTTGTTTGAATTTAAATTCAATACCATCCTAACTAACCTTCCACATAACAACAACAATGCAACAATTTAACACACTATGACGACATAGTATCTCATCAAAACTCAAACTTATATATACTCAAAATTCTCATCAATGAAAGTGTCACAATACCTTATAAAATTCTCATCTCAATAATGTATTGACATCAATCCTCCTTAATTTCGTCTAAATGATCTTTCAAATAAGTAGAAGACTTGTATTCATCAAAGTACTACAGAATATAACATAATTTGATTTAGTTAAAACTAATTAATTAGATGAAATTCGTTACATATATTAAAATAAATCATAAGTTAGAAACTCATACCATGGTTGAAATCTCTATTTGATTCAAAAGAATAATTTCTTTCATAAACCTCAACATGAAATAATCGCAATCTATACCATTGTGCTGACTAGGACACTGCACATGAAAAAAAAAAAAAAAAAAAAAAAATATATATATATATATATATATATATATATATATATATATATATATATATATATATATATATATATATATATATATATATATATATATATATATATATATATATATATATATATATATATATATATATATATATATATATATATATATATATATATATATATATATATATATATATATATATATATATATATATATATATATATATATATATATATATATATATATATATATATATATATATATATATATATATATATATATAGTTTAACTTGTTTTATCAAGTAGTGTTGTACCCCAAAATTTTCCCTCTCATTTATCAAATATTTTCTCACAAAGATCTCTCTTGGTTCAAGACTGCCCTAGGTTTGATCAACTCAAGACACCTCCTTAAGCACTGATGACCAAAATTAGGGTTTGAGATTGCACAAGGATATTTGAACTTTCATCGCTTCATATGACTTTCATGGATCATTATGGACTCCCAAGATTTCTCATGTCAAGTTTCAAGCATTGGATCACATTTTTTGCTCAGTCAATTGAGCAGTTGACCTAAAAATCAATTGTATTAGAGAAAAAGTCAATTATGGCCAATTTACAGTCAAACTTCATAATTTTTGATCCACATCAACATTATAAACTCATATGTATCATTTTATCAAGTTTGTGCCACAATTCCTCAAGAAATTTGATCAAATCATCAAAAGGGCAAAATGGTCAAAATTAGGGTTTTGACGGAAAAAGGGCAATTTCTGATTTTTGACCTAGCAAATGGTCAATTGGTTTGAAGCATGATTTAAATAGTTCAATTGCATCATGTTGACCTAATGACATGACCTAAAACATTGCTCAAAATTAATTGGACTGATAGTGAATTTTCAGTCAACTGATCAAAAAGTCAATTGTACACTGAAAAGTCAAACTTTAACTTTTTGGCCAAAGTTCAATGTCAAAGATCACAATTCATCAAAACATGTCAAAATATGAAACTTATTCATCAAGAAATCAAAAATTCAAGATTTCATTTTGAAAAGTCAAAGTTTTCTAACTTAGAAAATTTTCTAAGTGTTTAAACTTCATATTTTTTCATAACTTTGGGCCAATTTTTCACCATGATACAAGAGGATTCAGAAGAAAATTTCAACATGAAAGTTGTAGATCTCCATGATATCTACAACGTTGCTTTACACAACTTCTTCTAAAAATGATTGGATCTCAATTTATTAATTCCTAAAGCCATGGTCTTGAAATTGGACACTTAGTGAAATTTTGCCCTAGTTTTGGTCAGGATTTTGACCTAACTTCATGGCACTTTTTCATATAGTTCCAAGATGAATTTTCAAAAGTGATTCAAAGAGGGGTTGTAGAGAACATTACAAGCTTTCGAAAATGTCCAAGAACTCCTTGCGATCATTCTTGAGCAGGGAGAATCGAAGAGATGAAGTTAGGGTTTTCACACTTGAAATACAAGTCATTTTGTGATGAACAAGATTCAAATTTCAAACCTATGCTGCATAATCTCTACTTTACAGGCCTTAAAATTGTTAGGCACTCCATAATTAATTGATTGTACAACTTTTAAAGGTCTCAATTAAAGCATTCAATGCAAGGCCATGCTTTATATCCATTTTGAGAAGAAAGTGCACAATGCCATTTTGATAAAGTAGCTTTTTGCACAAAAATTATTCTTGAGCCTTGAAATTGTTTTCTTCTGATCATACATGTCCTATAACTCAAGAGAGGTTTGTCTAAACACTTACAATCACT